GGAGAAAACAGACCCAATGATGAGTCTGAGTATTCATCATCCAAAATGCTTTTCTTCATATATGATATGTGCAGATTCATCATGTTTTGCACTTTCAGATGATTTCTTCCTACGTTTCACAAGTAATTAGTTTGAATCACACCAACCTTTATTGTTCTCCTTTCAGGAAATGTCCAGGTATGAACATATGTTAAAATAATGCTGCAAGCAGCTATGATCAGGCCCCTTTGCTCCATGAGGAGCACATAAAAGTAAAAAACATATATTGTCCAATAGGTGGTGCTGTGGACTATGTAGTTGCCTTAAAAGTCCAGTGTGTAAGAGTTAGGTGAAAGGGATCTATCGGCAGAAACTGAAAATAAAATAATCCTAGTGATGTTCTCACTAGTGTGTTTCATCTAACTTGTTGTTTCTTTACCCTAGAATGGGCCCTTTATATTTAAATACTTAATATTGACATCAGAAATGGGACAAACTAAACACCTTCTGAGTTTTAATGACAACTGAAGGCTTCCACAGGTTCTTTCATGTTTGGAAGGGGAGGGTGAGGTGAGGGGCGTTCAGCTGTAACATGAAACCTCATCACTAAATTCTACACACTGAACCTTTAAAGTCGCGTCTCTTTTCAAAGGTGAGGTTTTGCTAATGTTTCATCACAAAACATCAAATTTGGACACGCACCCTGCTCAAGTCAAGTCACTCCAATGAATTCTGTTGGAGGAATTCATTCATGTGCTGTAGTCGGTTGGCAAATATGACCAACTTCTTTTTGGGTTCAGGCTTTTTGTACATCTGGGCACGATACATGTGTCGACCAATGTTCAAGGGGCTGAGGATTATGGGGCCTGGTCAAGTGATTGAACCACGCCCATTATCAAGACAGATGGATCCTGACAGACGTTATTAGACTGTTGTATTGTATGGAAAAATAATACAGAGGATAGCAATATAGATTATTATCAGAGCATAAAGTCTACATCTGTTCATTAAATGACCTCAAACAGTAAATAATACATAAATGGTATAGAGGGAGTTACTGTTCCCTGCTTTGATATCAACATGGAGGAGCTCCGACGTGTCTGTGCAGCACAAAGGTCTGAAGGAGCACGACGCTGATATCAGAGTCCTATCATCCCCCATCATGAAAACGGAATGCCGTCATATTTCTGGCATGTTCATCAACATCCTGGTGTTTGAAACTTTCCCTGTGCATCAATCCTGTCTGTCTTCTTTGCATGACACGTACAGCTGAAGCTGGACCCTTGTGTTAATTACTGCATCCATGTTGTTTCCCTGCATCTTCAATAGACTGAAGTCCACAGTGTTATCACATCATTGTACATGGATTTGAACTGAGACGCAACAACTGCTAAACACTCGCTGTGATTTGTGAAGCTCAGCTGATGTTAGGTTATGTAGTGTGAAGTCCTCTAACATTAATCATGCATATTGGAGGTATTATGTACACATGTAGCTTAAATAGCTGGTAATACTGTCAGGGGAGGCACAAGGAAATACAGGGAGATTAAATACATTTCCACAGCAACATGCTGTGAACTCTACGCTGCCAAAAACTGAAGACTATTTTTTATAAACTATTAATATGAATTATTTTTCAGACATGGGCAGGATGTAACGTATCGGTATCTTCTACTCACATGGCGCTGCCTCTTAAGCTTGAGATATTTGTTTTTTTCATTTTCGAAAGGTTTCAAACGTCAACCCCACACGAACGTCAGTGCATGTCTGAAAGCAGCATTAGTCAACATGTAATGCAGGTTTTTCACAAGAAAAGCCCACAAGGGGAGGTAAATGTGTGCAGGAGGTTTTGAGTCTGACATGACAACTTGAGTTGTTGAGTTTGCATCAGTCAGGGTGCAGGAAAAATAGATGTAAAGACCTTTCTCCAGTATAAGCCTCTGTCAAGTAATCACATTTTCAAACCTGCTCAGCATCACGTGGTCAATGACACTGTGGCATTGGCGACTGGTGTTAAGAGCAGTGGACACTGTGGAAAGGATCGTGTCAATTTGGTTTCTGTTGTGTTGCGTCTTAAAAATTGAGCATCTGTGAGAGATGATTACAAATAATGGTAAACTCCACCATGTAAATCCTTTAATAGTGGAACAGAATGAGGTGTTACTAACCACAGGAATGATGACCAGGACCCTGATGGTTCTATTTAGGTAACCATAGAAACAAAACTTAATGCTTTATACCAGTGACTCCCAACTAGGGGTACTTCTACAACCAGGGGTATGTAGCCAGTGTGGAGTACTATTTGACACCAAGAAAAAATGGTAACTCTGCTTCTGCCGCTCAAAGTGTTAGAAGTCCCAATACAAATTGAAGCAAATCCACTGAAAAAAACTGAGAAAGACTAAACATAAACCACTACCATCTACACAATTATATCTTGTCGACTACCACATGTGAAATCATTTTGCAAAAAATGGCTGGAACCAGCATAACCAGCCCTTGAACCTTCTTCAGCTGTCAGACGTTAACGTGTGTCATGCTCTGACTGCAGGGTGGTGGATGCAGGTTCCTCCGCTACGACTGCTCCATACAGGCTCCTCGTAAAGGCTGGGCCCTCATGCACCCGGGCCGCCTCACCCACTACCACGAAGGATTGCCAACCACCGCTGGCGTCCGCTACATTGCAGTGTCCTTTGTGGATCCCTGAAGATGAGGACACCCTACCAGCTAGTCCAGACCAAAGGGGACAAACGCTCAATCCCAGCTGTACTGTATGGTCTGATTTGGAGTGGTGACCATGTTTTTTTCTCTTTTAATGTCCAACATGATCATTTCTTTCTCACTTATAGAATCATACACAAGTGTGGCTCTGATCAACCTTTATCAGCAGTGGAGTTCCAGAGCTCAAAGATATAATGAGACACCCAGTGGAACAAGAACATGTAGGAGGAGAGTATTATATTCAGTCATTAAAAACAGCAGCTTAATTTTTTTTTGGATCCTTCTAAAGACTGGTGTGGAGTTTGGTGTGGAGCCTGCTTTGCCTCTAGTTTCTCAGGAAATCACCAGTTCAGCTCAGATTTTTTAAACATGCTTTTGTAAAGAAAACGTTGAATTTAATTCCATCAGTTACGTCAAGTGCCTTTTTATATTCAGATCTGTTCGTTATAGATTTTTTTACTGAAGTGAAATACTCCAAAACCCGGTATGCCTCTTAAGTTATTTTTATTTTAGTATATTTGATAAAACCCACTCCACTATTTTGTGTATTTGCAGTCTCACTGCTGTTTGAGAGATTTTGTTTTCCTCTGCTCTCACTGATGTCAGTCAGCTGAGTTCCTGGTCTAAGTAACATATTCACACACTCGCTGTGCTGTAAACACAACTCGAATAAAACAGTGAACCAAACTGAAGTGAGTCTGAGCTGTGATCGAACTGTTCTGTCCCTGAATGAAGCTTCTCACAGATGTGATAAGAAAACTAAGATCAACACAGACCAGCTTTTTCTCTGCTCAGAGCAGCTTCACGTCAAACAGCAGATGATGTGGTGGCATCATGTGTCTGTTATATGGATCCACTCAAATGTGACGGTTCACTTTAAAAAGTGGCTTCATGCAGACTGAGGTCACTTTCTCCCAGTGATGTCATCATCACAGCACTGAGGTCAGTGTTTGCTGTGAACCAGAAACACTGGAGATGATTTCACTTGAATGTTAAACTGCCTCACATCCTGCTGCTGCTGTGTCTGACTGACGTCTGTAAATCTTGTTGCACATGGAAACGTTTACTTTGTTTCTATGTATTTTTCTGGTGAAGTGCTTCACAGTCAAGCTGCTTCATCTCAGTCTCCATTTCTCCCACTCTGATCAATAGTGTGTAGTGGTCGCTTGTGCAAACACAAATGTAAAGTTCAGCGTGTGAGTACAGCACTTAGTCTAGTCCATTATAATCTATACTGTGTTTAAAACTAAACTGAAAATAGAAAGACACGTGGTAAACTGTCTTGGTATTAAGTCGAGAATGAAAACAGAAATTAAGTTCAGCATCTAAGCAGCAGTTGTCTGGTCCTTCTTAAAACGTATTTGCAGAGCCCACATTCACAAATCACATTTGATTAAGAACTAAACAAGGTGTGAGATTCTCTTCCCTTACAGGTTCAGTGTGTAAGATTTCAGTGAAAGGGATTTATAGGCAGAAATTCAATATAAAATTTTAGTGATGTTTTATCTGAATGTATCTTTTCTTACCCTTGGATAAACCTTTTATATTTACGTCGAGAGCAAGTCCTCTCTACGGAGGCCACCATGTTTTGTTTTTTTTACAGTAGCCCAGTCTGGACAAACTAAACATCTTTTGAGTTTTTATGACAACTGAAGGATAACAATATTCTCTGTCATGTTTGGAAGGGGAGGGTGAAGTAAGCCGCAACAATAGATGCCACTAAACTCTACACATTGCCCCTTTAATAACTTTATTTACAGAGAACTTACAACAGAAACAAATGGTTAAAATACAAAAGTACATAAATAGATAAGACCAATAATATCTTGCTAGTTTTCAGTCAAGATTCAGGAGGTCACAGTCAAAACCTTTGCCTGAAGATCACAAGCAGAGCAGAGGTAAATAGAAAATGAGATACAGCCTGGGCCGGGCCAGGAAGATTCTGAAAAAAAGATATTTGTTCAAACTGCAATTATTTTCTACCTTGGCATAAGGGAATAAAAGCATGTATGATCATCTCTGCATGTCTCAAATGGATCCAATTTGGTAATAATCCTGTGACGGTAAAACCCAAATTGGACAATTTGTGATAACCCTCAATAATAAGGAAAAACTACAACAAGAAATTGCAGAAAAAAAGCAAACAAAGCTCAGAGAGTTACAAGTGAGGGATCCCCCTCTCAGGATAGACTGAAGTTCAATAGATGGTGCATATAAAACCACATAAACTAAATATTTGGATTCACAGGCTAAGACATTACAAGTTACACCCTTCAGAAATTCTCATCAAATGTCCATAATCATGATTGATTTTGGATCAACTTTATTGAGTAAAGTGTAAAATACCATAAAATGTAAGAACTTCATTAAAATCTAAAGCTTAACAAGAAACTACATAGAGCTTAATGCGTTTCAAATATACAATCTATGTACAAGCACAGAGACATTTGATCACAGGCGGAAGCGATCAGAGAAGTTTGGACTGTGAGGGACTGTTAGAGGAACTTCACTCTTCTTAACCAGAACAGGTTTGTAGTGTTTGATGGGCTGAGCCTTGTGAACCTGCAGAGAACACACAGAGGAAGAGTGTCACACACACACACAGAGCATCTGACACAGCCTATAGAAGCTATGTTGTAAAAACATTCAAGCTGCTAATCGGTTTTAATGCTCAGCAGGGATTTTTTTTAAATCAACATGTTGAATCTATTAACAAATTAGTTGCACATTGTAAGAAAATATGGATTCTCAACTGCTCTAACATGTTTATATCATAATTACAGATTAAAATACAGCTTCACTGTCGTCTCAAACAGTATTTTCCCTCATCTCCTGTCACAATGAACGGTGTTTGAAAGTGACCTGTTCTTGCCGCAGCCTGGTGATCTCCTCTTGTTGTTGCTGCTCCTCCTCTCGTCTCTGCTCCTCCTCCATGAGGTCCCTGAGAGCCTCCTTCTCGCTGACCAGTCGCTCGTACTCCTGACGCTCCCGGGCGCGTCGCTCTGTCGACAGCTCAAAGTTCTCCACAGCTGTGGAAGAGTGAGTAACTTAAGAGCAGTGACAGATATCGTCGAGAGAACAGGAGCACAGTGAGTTCCACCACAGTGAAGGAGGCTCGGCGCAGAAAGCTGCAGCTTCTTCACCGTCAGACAATATTCAATACCTGATCATGTGATCAAATTAGAATCAGGCCTGCGCCATGAAACTGTGATCATCAATAATGTTTTCTATTACAGATACAAACTGTTAGTAACTTCTAATTCATTAGATTTATAATATGAATGTTTCCACTGAGTAAAAACAACTGGGATTGTGATGAAGACACTGATGAAGAGGTTTTGTCTTGAGTAAAGAACTGACTCAGCTCCTGTGAGACCATCACTCAACCTGACAGGAGCAGAGTCCAGTGGAAACTCTACATGCAGCTTCAGCAGGCTCTTGGTGAAGAGGAGAACATGAATGTTAGTCCCACCTGCTGCAGCTCGCTCTGGCTTTTTGGGCTGGAAAGGTTCTTTATGAGTGACGGTGTTGGGCCTGGCTTTGAACGTTGTTGCTTCCTCCTGTCGCTTCTGCTCTTCTTTCACCTACAAGGCACAGAGATCACGTGTGGATGTGGTGAAGAATAACAAGTGCTTGTGTGCGTTCAGAGGCAGATCCCATCGTACCATCTGCTCCCAGCGACTGTTCTTTACAGAACCACGTTCATCCAGGAGAAGTTTGAAGGGCTCCGGCTTCGTGGGCTCCAGCTTCTTCTTTTCAGGGAGCAGRACAGAGTCAAAGTCTGGCAGCGGCTGGGCCTTGAACTGAGGGACCTGAAACGTTCAGAGGACAGTGATCGAACACCTGCTCTCAGACATGCAGCATAAAGACACAGCAGCTGAGGACGTGAGACTCACCTCTTCATTTCTCTTCTCCTCCAGCCTCTTTTCTTTCAGTGCCCTCCTCTCTCGCTCCCTCTCGTCAAAGGAGAAAGGACAGACCTCCACGTGGTGGTTCCCTGGGAGCCGTGGCTGGAAGGGGAGGCCGAAGTGAGGCACTGGGGGGGGCTTGATTGGTGACAGCTGTTTTACCTACAAGACACAAAAGCAGGTTTAGGTCATTTACAGGGGTGTGAGCAGGGGGAGGAGTTTGTTAAACAAGCATCGCTCATCATCAATTCCTCTGATCGTTCTAGTTTAATCTGCATCTATCAACAGAAACACTGTTTAAACTAGCTGAGAGCAGAATGTGGTGGAGGTTTGTCCAAACCAGTTTTAAAGTCAATTCAGTTTAGTGTAAACTAAGACCAAACAACAAGAGCAGCTGGAGAATTCTCCAGTTGGAGACG